AAGAAATAATTTAAATGAGAAAGGGAAATCCCTTCTACCTCAATAAGGAGTTACAGAGTTACCCGCAGACACCCCTTCAATTTGTCCAACAATCTATATTTTACAGATCAATCATTGTTCAAGAAGTGGAAAGCCTTCTGCTTACTGCCTGTCCTCTCTTCTCTCCAATGGAAAACAAGAATATTGACATTATTCCTTTCTCGTATTTTGAAACTACTGTGTCAACTACAGTAAGGAGAATTATTATTACCTTTCTGATTCCCTGCAAACAGTCGAGGATGGTGAGATTGTAAGTGCAATTTCCAAAGGAAGCATCCCTATAAATACACACACACACACACACAAAAACAAAACAAAAAAACAATACTAAAAATGTACATTCAGAATATTCAAATAAGACAATACCAAAGACAATTGAAGATATGCTTGTTTGGCTTCACAGCTGTCAACATGGTAAATTTATGCAACACATCAGATACTACTAGTTAACTACTCTTACATCTTAAATGAAGCATTTCTGAAACTGCTTTAATCCAATAGGCATAATTAATAAGAAAAGCAAATTCAAGAGCCTGAGCTCACAAGTCAGCTTGCCTTCATTCAAGTTCCAACTCTGCCACATACTGGCTGGGACCTTGAACAACTTATTTTACTTCTGTGAGTCTCGGTTTCCCATCTCTGAAATGATGTTACTGATGGTATCTACCATTTACAGGATTATTGTCAGATTACATTTAATAAATGGAAGTCCTGGAGCGCCTGGGTGGCTCAGTTGGTTAAGTGGTCAAGTCTTGATTTCGGGTCAGGTCATGACCACATGGTTTGTGGGGTCGAGCCCCACACTGGGCTCTGCACTGACAGCACAGATTCTTGGGATTCTCTTGGGATCTCTCTGCTTGGGATTCTCTCTCTACCTCTCTCTCTGTCCCTCCCCTGCTTGTTCTCTCTCTCTCAAAATAAATAAATAAACTTAAAAAAAAGAAAAATAAATGGAAAGTCCTTCATATAAGAGCCTGGCACATAGGAAGCACCTAAGAAATATTATGGTTTTTCTTGGTATTATTAACAATGACCTGAACTGTTCCATTAAGTAAAAGATTTATAATCACCAATGGTATTCTCATAGAGGAACAACCACCTATCAGGAATATGGTAAATACAAGCATAAAAATGTAAGGAGGACAATGTAGGCAGGTCAACAGAAGCTAGCTGCTATTTTCCTAGATTAAATGACACCCCTCCTATCTACCCTCCCCCCCAAAAAAACAAAAAAAAACTATGGAAAAAGCAGTCATTCTTCCAAACAATCTCCTCTCAGGATCCAGGAGAACTTCTAATGCACCATGAAGTGTTATATCAAAAGGAGTGGGAACCTACCGCACCGAAAATTGAGTACTTCATACTTTATTTAAGTTTTTAGAGCAACCTGCTTTAGGCAACATAAAACTGAAGTATCAAGTTCAGGTGAGGTTAAGCAAGAACTGGCACTGGAGCTTTAACACTAGCAATGTTCCAAGGTGTCCAAGGCAAGAAACTTGACCTCCAGGCTCTCAGTCTCTCTGCCCAGCCCCCAATGCTGACCCAAAGGAATAGAGCTGTCAGGCACCTGCCAATGACAAAGTCGAAGGCACCACACAAAGTTGGTTCAAGGGCAGCAGTAGGGAAGGTGCCAGAAGATGATGCTCCATGGGGAGAAAAGGACCTTTAAGTGCTTTAACATATAATTAACATAAAACTGAGTTTTATATCACCCAATGTAACTTGAACCTATGGCTGCTAAGTCATGAATTAAAATGAAGCTTCAATGTCACTGGATTTCAACATCCTGATAACCTAATATAAAAATAGGAAGTAAGCAAAGCAACTTAAAAGAAATGTTTAAGTTCTGAAGCTTCAAAGTTTTTTGTTTGCTGAAGCCTCGCTCAACAAGGGGCTTAAACCCATGACCCTGATATCAAGACCTGAGCTGCTTAATCGACTGAGCCACCCAGACACTCTTGAAACTTCAAAGTTAACCTACGTTAATAGGAAGGATTATTCTACATATGTAAATCTGATTTCAAGACATTTTTTTAATGCTATCTGAACTCACGGGTCAGTGCAAAGCAAAGTAGCCCCTTTTCCAAATATCATGTAAAGACAAACCATGTATTAAAAATCAAATTTTAATGGACTAAACCAGAGAAAGGTATAGCTTGGGATCTAAGACAAAATAGCAGTTTATATAAAGAATCACATACTCCTTTGCAGGCACTTGTCTCTTTGGGTCAAGGTTTCAGAATCTTTCATGTGTCATGGACCCCTTAGAAATCTGATGAAGCTTGTGAACCCCTCTTCTCAGAATGATGTTTTTAAATGAATAAAATAAAATATATATGAATAACAGAAGACTAATTCGATTAAATTTATCAAAATATTAAAAAAATAATTTATAAGACATATTTAATTATTTACTGTTTTATTAATATGTAACAAGACCTAGTAGGTCTAGTGATGACTATAATTTTGAAGAAGGAATGAACATAAATAATAAGAGATATGAAATATATAAGATGCATGTAAAAATTATAATGGGATATAAAAATGTCCGTAATTTCTATTGTGACATTCATATTGCTAATACGACTATAGTTTATTTCCAACATTTACAATTGAATATAATTAAGATAAGTGAAAACAAAGACACTTTTTGTCATCCAAACTCAGTGACTCTCTGAACTATCTCTGCAGACCCAAGATTAAAAATCACTACTTCAGTAAAGAAAAAATAAAACAAAAACAAAAACTTTCTTATTTAAAATAGTAAAACAATTTTAAGAACTGGAGGTGCTCTTATTCTCTGAAGTATATTTTCCCATGCCTAGACTCACCTAAATGAATTCACATAGATAAGTCATAGAAATGCTCCAGACCCAGTCTTTCTGACTGTCTGCAAAGTTTGGTGAGACTGTCATGATATCTCTTGGCCTATCACAGCCACAAGTTTTACCAGTGACTGAAAAGAGAGCTCTGGTGACCTGGTGATCAAATCTATAGACCTGAGAGAGGAAGACGAGTTAACATGCCATGTGACAGAATTAGGATATAAAGCGGTCACAGCAGGATGGAAAGACAGGTAGAAATTTACAGCATGAAATATAATAAGGGATGCGATAAAATTAGGTCACATTCTCAGAACTGGGGAGAGGAGATGACACACCAAAGGACATTACACCCATTCCTCAGGAGAATTAATCCTCATGACAGCCGCACAAGGACAAATAGGTTCCCAAACCTGCCTCCATACTGAGCAGGAGAAATGGCTTATTAGTGGAACCTGGCTCCTACTTAGACAAAGGAGAGCAGCTATAAAAGTGAACAGACACAAAAACATGTTATATGTTCTCTGGGGGGAAAAAGTGAGAGAAAGAGAAGGTAGAGATGGCAGACTGAACACATGTATCTACCAAATCCACACTAAAAACAGAATTTTGAAAGGCTTTTTAAGAAAGAAATCCAACAAGCTCAGGGAGAATAAGTGAGCAGAAAATAGCAATAAAATTGTGAAAGCTGGAAATCAGAGGAGTGGTAGTAAATTAGAAAACCAAGAAAAGGGAATATTAAGGTGACAAAGCCAGAGAATCCACCTAATAAATACTAGAAACGTCCCATAAGGCTCAGGAATTGGCAGCACTGGGTTCTTCTGGAGGTAGAATGAAGGAAGTGGCTGACATAAGATTGAAAGTCCACTTAAGAAGCTGAGAGATTTTATTCTATAAAAGAAACATTATCTCCCATGTTACAAATCAATCTTCCCTGCTTCCCTTCCCTTCCCTCAACCACCCAATACAGTCAGAAGCATCTAAGAATGATTGGCCCTGGAAGGCAGCAAGATACCTGCCCCATACTACGTTCAAGTTTGAATTGGAGGATTGCTTCAGGATTATTTTTCACCTATTTTTTTCTAAGAAATGGAGATGGTTAGGAAAATACCAGGCTCCGTTAACTACAGAAGTCCCTTTGAGTCTGAAACTGTATCATTATTCAACACAACTGATGATCACTTTCTTCTCCAGGTATCTCCTCTGGGTCCTTCCCAACAGAATTTAAACACTTTCAGGTCTCTACCATCTTTAAAAGAAAAAAAAAAAAAAAAACCAAAAAAACTGTCCCAAACTTTCTTGACTCGACATCTCCCTTCAACCACCACCCTCTCTTGAGACTCCTCTTTAAAACAAGACTTCTTCAGGGGCGCCTGGGTGGCTCAGTCGGTTGAGCATCCGACTTTGGCTCAGGTCATGATCTCGCAATTCATGAGTTCAAACCCCATGTCAGGCTCTGTGCTGACAGTTCAGAGCCTGGAGCCTGCTTCCGATTCTGTGTCTCCCTCTCTCTCTCTGCCCCTCCCCTGCTCATGCTCTGTCCCCCGCTGTCTCTTAAAAAGTAAAATAAAACATTAAAAAAAAATTTTAAAACAAGACTTCTCTGAAGAATTACTTCTCCCCCTGCTCCATTTTCCGTCCTCTCACCTCTTAACACCCTCTGATCTGTTTCCACCCTCGTCCACACCACAAACATGTCACACTAAAGTTACCAATTATCTTCATATTGCTACGCCTGGGGGGCTTTGTTTTTAATAGAAATAAAATTCACAATTTATCCTTTTTAAAGTGTACAAGTCAGTGATTTCTTTTAGTATATTCACAATTCCTATTACCACTAACTCCAAAAGAGCTATAGCCCCCAAAAAAGAAATTCGGTGCCCATTTACAGTGACTGCTCACTTTCCCTCCCCACTTGCAGGCAATCAGTAATCTACTTTCTGTCTCTCTGGATCTGCTTCTTCTAAACCCAGGGAACATTTCCCAAGCATCATTTTACTGAGTTTGCCAGCAATAATAATACTCCTTTGAATACTGTCTTCACTGGCTTCCTGGGTTTTTCTTCTACATCTCCACACACTGCTACTACCCAATCTCCCTGGCAAAGCCATCCTTCTCCTCCAAATCCTTAAAAGTTAGAGCTTCTCAAGGTTCAATCCCAGACTCAAATTCTTCTCACTCCATGCCCTCTCCCTAGTCCAGGACGAGTTCCCATGTATCAGCATCACCTGGATGGTTCCTTAAACTCAGAATGCTGGATCCCACCAGAAATCCTGATCCAATGGGGGCAGAACCTGAAAATCTGCATTTCTAACAGGTTTCCAGGAGGGTACTGATGAAGCTGGTAGAAAGGAGCACATTTTGAGAACTGCCCTACACAATCTAATCCATATAAACTGCCATCAATCTACCAATGACCCTCAAATTTCTGTCTCTAGCACAAACTCCTTAAAACT